GATGGAGGAGCAGGGATGAGATGAGAGAGCAGGGATGAGATGAGAGAGCAGGGATGGGATGGAAGAGCAGGGTTAGGATGGAGGAGCAGGGATGAGATGAGAGAGCAGGGATGGGATGGAAGAGCACGGTTAGGATGAAGGAGCAGGGATGGGATGGAGGAGCAGGGATGGGATGGAGGAGCAGGGCTGGGATGGAGGAGCAGGGCTGGGATAAGAGAGCAGGGATGGGATGGAAGAGCGGGGTTAGGATGGAGGAGCAGGGCTGCACACAGTGAATACAAACTGCATTACAGAGGGGAATGAATTAACAGGGCAGACTCTGTGCTTGCTGCTCCCCAAACCAGCCAAGCCTTCCCTCAGCAGGGGGGGGTGAATCCTGCCCCAAGCACAGAGCAGAGGCCTCGGGCTGAGCCCCTGGAGGATGCAGCTGGGGCTGTGTGTGGTGCCCCATCCCAGTTGTGCTGCACCCAAACCCTCCCGTGGGCTGTCCCTGGCTGGGCTGGCAGCTCAGGGGAAGCTGAACAAAGGGATTTTCCAGGCTGGGTGACTCATTCCATCCTGCTGGGGACAGCAGAGTCACAAAGGGGTGGCAAACACCGAGCCATGGCAGAGGGGACCCCAGAGCAGGCACCGGCAGGGAGGGATGGCTCCTCCTGCTGCTGCAGCTGGGGCGGCTCTGCCCGGTCACAGATCCATGGCCAGGCCCCAAGGAAGGACAGACGGACATCAGGAGGGAGTGATGGAGCTGCTGCAGGGCTGGAGCCCCTCTGGAGCCAGGCTGGGACACCTGGGGGTGCTCACCTGGACAGGAGAAGGATCCAGGCAGAGCTCAGAGCCCCTGGCAGGGCCTGGAGGGGCTCCAGGAGAGCTGGAGAGGGACTGGGGACAAGGATGGAGGGACAGGACACAGGGAATGGCTGCCAGTGCCAGAGGGCAGGGATGGATGGGACATTGGGAATTGGAAATTGTTCCCTGGCAGGGTGGGCAGGGGCTGGGATGGAATTCCCAGATTTGCTGTGGCTTTGTCCTTTGTCCCTCCCCGGTTTTTTCCTGGGTTCTGCGGTCAGCGGGAGTCAGTGGAGTAGAGAAAAGCGGAGTTCGGGGCTTGAAACTGTGGGAGAGGGGAAAGCAGGAAAGGAAAAAGGAGGAAAAAGAAAAGGGAAAAGGTGAAAAAAAAAAGATGAAAAAGATGAAAGAGACAGATGAAAAAGATTGATGAAAAAGATTGATGAAAAAGATTGATAAAAAGATTGATAAAAAGATTGATGAAAAAGATTGATGAAAAAGATTGATGAAAAAGATAGATGAAAAAGAAAAAAAGGTTTAAAAATAAAAATAAAAATTATTAAAAAGATAAAAGATAAAAAAGATAAGATAAGCAAAAAAAGCTAAAAAAGATAAAAAAGCTAGAAAAGATTTAAAAAATTAAAAAGATTAAAAAGATAAAAAGATAAAAAAAGATAAAAAAGATTAAAAGATAAAAAAGGTAAAAAAGATAAAAAGATAAAAAAGATAAAAAAGATAAAAAAGATAAAAAAGATAAAAAAGATAAAAAAGAAAGGGAAAAAGATGAAACAAAAAGGTGATAAAGATAAAAGATGATGAAACGATAAGATAAAAAAGATAAAGATAAAGAAGATAAAGATAAAAAGATAAAGATAAAAAGATAAAGATAAAAAATATAAAAAAGGTAAAAACGATAAAAAATGTTTTAAAATATTAAAAAGGAAAAAGGAAAAAGGAAAGGGGAAAAAAGGGAAACGGGTAAAAAAGGAAAAGAAAAAGGAGAAAAAGAGGAAGAAGAAAGAAAACGTAATAGAAAAAGAAAGGAGAAAAATGAAAACAAGACAAAGGCAAAGAAAAAAATATGAAAGAAGAAAAGAGAAAGGGGGAAAAGAAAAAAGAAATGTGGAAAAAAAAGTATAAAGGAAAGAAAAGAACATTTACAAAGAAAAAAACAATTTTTTTTTTTTTTTTAAAGAGAAGAAAAAGGAAATAAGAAAAAAATAGAAGTAAAAAGGAAACAACTGGTGGACTGGTGATTTCCTCCTGCCTGTCACCAGTAGACAGCCCCGTTCACCTGAGCCGTCCATCGGCGCCTTCCCTGCCCGGCGCCCGGGGCAGCCGAACCCGCCCGGCCCCGCTGCGGGCGGAGCTCCGGGCCCCGAGCGCCCCGGGCGCGCATGGAGCGGCGGCGGGGCCGGGGCTGCGTCCCAGCGAAGCCCCCGCGGGGCTGGGAGGGCTCCGCAGGACGGGAACGCTCGCGGGAGCGGATGAAGACACAGGGGAAGCGAGAGGTAAAAAGGGGCTTTGGGGATCCGGAATTTTGTGGGGTGTTAACTCCCCGAGCCCCCCCAGCAAATGGATGGTGATTATTGACAGGTCGGGAAAGGAGCCCAGATGTTGCTCCGGGGTTTTTGGGGGGAGGAAAAGGAGCTGGAGGCTCAAAGGGAGAATTTGGGATCCCTGGAGGCTGCACGTGTTGTGTCCCGTCATTTCTAGAGCTGCCCCTGGCATACCCGTGCTGAGGTGCCCGAGGTAAGAAAAGCTGATCACGATCAGGCAGAAAAACTGAGTTTATGTCATCGATGGCGTGAAAAGAGAAGGAACAACAATAGCAAGATATCAATTCATTTAAAACTCTGTGGGTTGTGGGAGTGCTGGAAAACTGAGAAAAAGCAAAAATCATCTTATAGAGAAGGTAAAATGAGAGTGGATGTAACCTCTGGACGAGCCCCTCGCTCTGAGCAAAAATTCTATTTCTGATTTCCTCTCCTCTCCCTCCCCTTCCCTTTCCCCTTTCTTTTCTTTTCCCTTCCTGCCCCGTCCCGAGCATCCCCGGGGCACAGGCGGAGCTCGGAGCGGCCGCGGGGCTCGGGGTGAGCGACCCCGGCCGGGGCACGGGGGGAGCCGGGGGAGCCCCCCGAGCCTCCGGGGCTGCGCATCCCCCGGTGCCGAGGGGCGAGTCCCGGCCGCGGGCAGCGGGGAAAGGCGGCACCCGGCGGGATGCTGCAGCTGCTGCCCCGGGATTTCCATTGCCTGGGATTTCCATTGCCTGGGATTCTCCTGCCCCGGGATTTTCATTGCCCCGGGTTTTTCATTGCCCTGGGATTCTCCTGCCCTGGGGTATTCCTGCTCCGGGATTTCCATTGCCCTGGGATTCTCCTGCCCTGGGATTTCCATTGCCTGGGATTCTCCTGCCCTGGGATTTTCATTGCCCTGGGATTCTCCTGCCCTGGGATTTTCATTGCCCTGGGATTCTCCTGCCCTGGGATTCTCCTGCTCCAGGATGCTCCTGCTCTGGGATTTTCATTGCTCCGGGATGCTGCTGTTCTGGGATGTTTAATGTTTTGGGATGCTCCTGTCCTGAGATGCTTCTAACCCGGGATTTTCTCTGCTGTGAGATGCTCTCGTCCTGGGATTTTCTTTGCCCTGGGATGTTCCTTATCTGGGATTTTCTTTGCCCCGGGATGTTCCTTACCTGGGATTTTCTTTGCCCTGGGATGTTCCTTACCTGGGATTTTTTTGCCCCAGGATTTTCTTTGCCCTGGGATGTTCCTTACCTGGGATTTTCTTTGCTCCGGGATGTTCCTTACCTGGGATTTTCTTTGCCCCGGGATGCTTCTGTCGTGGGATTTTCCTGCCCCAGGCTGCTCCAGCCCCGGGATCTGTGGTGTTTTCCCAGCGATGCTGCTGCCCAGGAATTCTCACCATCCCAGATGTTCCCTGCGGGCTGGGATGGAGCAGCCCCAGGAGAGCAGTGCCCAAGGCCCATCCTGAGCAGCGCTGTCCCCTCCTGGCATGCCCTGGGCTCTGATTCCATCCCTCACTCCTGGCAGATTTGGGAACAGCCCCGGGTGGGACAGTCCCGAGGTTTGGGGTGACCTGGGGTGCCACTGTCCTCACAGAGCTTCCCCAAAACCTCAGCCAGTGCCAGGAACTGGGGATGTGTGAGATTCGGGCACAAGTTTGGGGTTATTGTGCCTGAAATGACTGAGATGTTCCTCTTTCCTCTGCTGCCCTGTCTGTTGTTCCTGCCAGTTCTTGGAAAGCACAGCAGAGGTTTTTTAGGGACAAGTGGGGTTGAAAGCCAGCTCTGAGCTGTGGTGCTTCACAGCTGCTTTCACTTCAGAGCTGCAGGGACAGCCAGGGTCCCCGGGGCACATCCACCGGTGCCAGAGAGGCTGGCCTGGGGCTCTCAGATGAGATTTTGGGGGTAAGAGCACGAGCAGGCCCAGGCTGGTACCCACAAACACCCCCTGAGGGTATTTCAGTACCCTCCAACCAGCAAGGCTGATTTCCCTCCCTGCTGTACCACCTGCAAGGGGGGGGTTCCCTTGACTTCCCCCTATTGATTCCCCTGAATTTCCCCCTATTAATTCCTCAATTAATTCCCCTGAATTTCCCATTAATTTCCCCCTATTCATTCCCCTGAATTTCCCTTTTTCTCAGCTCTGAGCTGGAGTTGCTCCTCAGCAGTTTCTCATCCTTTACTCCCATCACAGCTCACGTCCTCCGACCAAAGGCTTTGAGGCAGGCTGCATTTTGAGGCTGGATTTTGAGGCTGGATTTTGCCCATTTTTCTCAGCTATTTGGGCACTTTGCTGTCAGCAGCAGCTGTTTGCAGGCTGTTGGCACAGCCCCCAGGCTTAGTGGAAGGCAGAGCATTTCCCTGAAGAAGCTGCTGAGATTGCTCATCCTGGCACTTACGAATCACCTCCAGAAGGCACCGCACGAGGAGCTCCTGGCTGAGCTGAGGAGCTGCTCCAGGCTGAGCAACACAGCCTCTGGGTCCAAACAAAACCAGGGAATGCTCCTTAGAAAGGTCCCACAAAATGAGCATTTGGGATTTTCTGAAACAACCCTTTCTTCTGCTTTACAGCAAAGTAAAGTAGAAAGTAGTAAAGCAGGAAAAAAGTAGAAAACCACAAAGATGTGTACATGATATCCCCACTTTTCTGGAGCTGGTAACAGGAATTCCTCTCTCTCCAGGCACCAAAATGCCATTTGCACGGATCATGCCCTCAGCACTGTGGTTGGTGCTGCACCTCACAGCAGGTAAGAGAGGCTTCTTCCCACACACAATTAACTCTCAGATGAAGCACTCAGCCTAATTAGGGTGGGGTTTTTCCAGCTTCTACCCCAAGTGCCAGTGAACATCTTCCTTTCTGGGGTTCATAAGTGATGCAGGGAGTTTGGTTGGTTTTCAGTTCCAGGCAGAGCTGTTGGGTTTGTGAGAAAAGGCACTGGGACAGGCAGAGCTCATGAACAGGAAAAAAGGCATTCACAGAATCCCAGAATTTGGGTTTGGGTTGGAAGGACCTCAAAGCCCACCCAGTGCCACCCCTGCCATGGCAGGGACACCTCCCACTGTCCCAGGTGCTCCCAGCCCCAGTGTCCAGCCTGGCCTTGGGCACTGCCAGGGATCCAGGGGCAGCCCCAGCAAATCTGGGAATCCCATCCCAGGGCCTGCCCACCCTGCCAGGGAACAATTCCCAATTCCCAATCTCCCATCCATCCCTGCCCTCTGGCACTGGCAGCCATTCCCTGTGTCCTGTCCCTCCATCCCCTGTCCCCAGTCCCTCTGCAGCTCTCCTGGAGCCCCTCCAGGCCCTGCCAGGGGCTCTGAGCTCTCCCTGGATCCTTCTCCTCTCCAGGGGAGCACCCCCAGGTGTCCCAGCCTGGCTCCAGCCCTGCAGCAGCTCCAGGTCCTTCCTGCACCTCCTGCCCCAGCTCTGCTGACCCAGGCACTTTTCCAATCCCAACCAAAGGAGGGTTCTGGCAATTTTTACCTGGGCTTGCCAGGGTTTTTGGGGAGTGATCCCGGGGCTGCTGATCCCAGACAGGTCCCAGCAGTTCCTGTGCAGAGCCTGGAATTTCTCCACCAAACACCTGGGGAGGCTCCTGCTGGAGCCCAGCCTGTCCTGCAGGCAGCTGGGGGGCTCTGTCTGAGGCTGTTTCGCTCTTGCCTTGCAGGAGCCTGCAGGAGGGGGGCAGTGAGCGCCGGCAGAGCCGCCCGTGGCACCACAGAGGTCTGTGCCAGGGGCACCGTGACTGCCAGCCCCTGCTGTGCCATCCCCGGGGGCACCAACGTCACCCTGTCCTGCCAGCTGGCAGCCCCACGGGGCTGGGCTGCCATTTTCCTCAACAGCTCCGAGCAAACCCGAGCCTGGGGGGGCTCAGTGAGCAAAACCTTCCTGGTCACTGCCCAGGGCAGGCACTACTTCACCTGCAAGTGCTTCTGTGGGGGCAGGACAACGCTCATCTGTGGCATCGACATCCACTGTGGGAGTAAGGAAAATCCCTTCCTGATCACTGCCTGAAGTTCTTCATTGCTTCTCACGGCTGCCCTGAGGGAGAGGGAAGCCTGAGAGGCACTGCCAGGGGCTGGCTTTGTGCAGGGCTGCTGCTGGGAGTCCCTCTGGGAATATTCCTGGCTGGAACTGAGCAGCTCTGATATTCCTGAAGGGAGAGAGGCTCAACAAATCTGCCTGCCCAGAGCAAACTGCACCTTCTCTGCCCTGCATCCCCTCAAATGTCTCCTACCCACATCTTTGGGGAAGAGCCACTGGAGCCAGGCTGGAGGGAGCTCTGGGCAGCCTGCTCTGGCTGGGGGTGTTGGCCTGAAGGACCCTGAACGGTCATGGATGTCAGGACTGACAGGAGTTTCTGTTTCAGACCCTCCAGACGAGCCCAGGAACGTGTCCTGTATCCAGAAGGGGACACAGGGACGTCCCACCTGCACCTGGCACAAGGGCAGGCTCACCTACCTCCCCACTGCCTATGGCATAGAGTGAGTGCTGGGGTGCAAACACAATTAATGCCTCATTGTCCCCTGCAGCAGCTCCCTCAGGCTGTGCGAATCCCTCCCTTTGGAGAGGGAGCCCTGTCCCACACCCCAGGGCTGACCCTGTCCCCATGTCTGGGGGGACTCCCTAAGCCAGGACACCCCAAACCCCAGGGCTCCCCTTCCTTGCTCAGAAAATCCAACCAATGCTCTGCTCCTGCTCCAGGCTCTCCAACGGCACCGGTGCCTTTTCCTTTCCAGAAGAAGCTCCCGGTCAGGAGTTTGGCTCTGGGGCTCTGAGCAAGCTGGATTTTGACTCCAATTACACCGTGGTGGTTTCTGCCTCCAATCCATTGGGAAACGCCTCCTCCCAGCCGCTCACCTTCGCGCTGGTGGACATAGGTGAGGCACCAGTGCCCCCTCTCAGCCAGCCCCAGACCTTGGGGGAGACCTGGAAAGAGTCAGGACCTCTTAGAAAAAACATTAATCATTGACCCTCTTGTTAAAATCACCCCTCCAGCCTAAAGCAGCAATCCTCTTCTCCACCTAACCCCCTCCAGGGCTGTGCTGCCCTTCTGAGCTCTGTTTATTTCTCTGTTTCTCTGGTTGTTTCTCTGTTTTGGTGCCAGTGAAGCCACACCCTCCCGACTTTTGGGTGGAATTTGATGATTCCTCGGCCACCAGCTGCACCATCGTGTGGCACCGCGAGGCACAGGCGCAGCACTGCAGGCTGAGGTACCGTCCCCTCGGCAGGCACGGCTGGAGCACGGTAATCCTGCTAGGATTCGGGGAATTCTGCAGCTGCTGGGCAGGAGAGAGCTCGGGGCAGAACCCTGCCAGGGCCTCAAGGGGCTCCGGGAGAGCTGCAGAGGGACTGGGGACAGGGCATGGAGGGACAGCACACAGGGAATGGCTGGAAGTTGAAAGAAGGTACATTTAGATATTGGGATAATTGTTCCCTGGGGAGGGGCTGGGATGGAATTCCCAGATTTGCTGTGGCTGCCCCTGGATCCCTGGCAGTGCCCAAGGCCAGGCTGGGGCAGTGGGAGTGTCCCTGCCATGGCAGGGGTGGCACTGGGTGGGATTGAAGCTCCCTCCCAACCCCAGCATTCCATGGCTCCGTGAAGTTCTTGCTGTAAGTGGCAGAAAGGACTCTTTGCTGGGAGCTGAGCACATCACCCAAACAGGGATTTTGCACGGAGGGATTTTTCTGATGAAGCCCTGCAGGCCCTGATGGTTCCTTTGAGTTTCTGAGGCTGCCTCAGCTCGGGGTTCCTCTGCTGGTTTTTAAATCTGTGTCTGAATTTGTAGCTCAGTCTCTCGCTGCCTGCAGCCCTTGTTTCCTCAGGAGTTTAATACCAATTCCTTCATCCCCTCTGAAGGTCGAGAGCTTCGGCAGGGAGAAATTTCATCTGCAGGGGCTGGAGCCCGACACAGCCCACGAGTTCCAGGTGAGCTGCAGGCTGCTCCCAGGCCGGGGGCTGTGGAGTGACTGGAGCAGCAGCCAGGGCAGCACCCCAGCAGCAGGTAAGGGTTAATTGTTAATTAAACTGGTGAATTTGTATAGAACTGCCCTGCCCAGGGCAGCACCCCAGCAGCAGGTAAGGGTTAATTGTTAATTAAACTGGTGAATTTGTATAGAGCTGCCCTGCCCAGGGCAGCACCCCAGCAGCAGGTAAGGGTTAATTGTTAATAAACTGGTGAATTTGTATAGAACTGCCCTGCCCAGGGCAGCACCCCAGCAGCAGGTAAGGGTTAATTGTTAATTAAACTGGTGAATTGGTAAAGAGCTGCCCTGCCCTGCCCTCACCCAGCTCTGGGCTCTGCACCCACAGCCAGCTCCAGCTCAGGAGCCCAAACCCCTGCTGGGCTCCTCTGGGCAAACTCCAGATCCAGACCCCGAGCCAACAGGGAGAAGTTTCTGTAAGAAAATTGCATTTTTAATGAGCAAACAGTAAAGCTGTTCCAAACTAGGAATCCCTGAGAGCAGCTGAAGGGTTTGGGGGTTGGAATGAGATGATTACCCCAATAATTCTGTGATTCTCTGCTCTCCTGCTTGCCTTTGGCTGCTCCTTTTTGTGAATTGCTGCCCATCCGTGGGGCTGGTGCTGTTCTGAGTCACCCATTTCCCCTTTCCCCCGTGACAGCAGCAATTTCTGTAAGAGACATTGATTGATTTGGGAGGTGTGAACTTTTCCCTGCCTCCCCCACCTTCCTCTCAACAGTCTTCTCCCCTTTTGGCTGCACCCTGAGTTTGTGGCTGTCACCCCCACCCTGCCCCTGGGGTTTTTGGCTGATCTTTGTGCCCTCAGAGCAAGGGGAGGCTGCAGAAAAGCAGCTCTGGGTGCATCCTCACCGCCCTGTGCTGCAGGAGCTGAACTTCTCCACAAGCTGCCTCCTTCCAAACCCAAAATCAGACCCTTCCAAGGAGAAATTCCTGCTCCTTTTTGTGTGAAGTGCCAAAAACCTCGCTCATGTGGCTCACAGGCTTTCAAAGCCAGGCTGGAGGGCAGCAGATGCAATCCCATATTGGGATTTTTCGGCTCTGAGCTCGCAGTCAATGCCCTGGTTTTATTTCTGCTGCTGCTTCTTGTTCCTGTTCCAGTCTCTCTGTGCAGTCACTCCAGGACAAGCTGCTCCCATCATGCTGGCCTGGAGGGGTTGGTGCCTGTGCCCTGGGTGCTCATCAGCTGTCCATGATTCGTGTTTGCACTGATGAGCTGGTGCTGCTCAGGTCCCCGAGGAGCAAAGCTCTGTCAGCCCCTGTCACCTCAGCTGTCCTTACCCACTCATCTCCGCTGCTGGGTTTTGGGAGCCAGGTCTTCCCTTTGATGTCATTTTGGGAGGTTTCTTCAAAATACCAAGTTTCCAGTCAGAACTGTGGAAGGACCAAGGGTTTAAGCTGGTTTAAAGGCATTTATTAGACAGGAAAATCCCACACGTCCCCCACACGCCCTCATCCGAGGCTGCCTGTTGCTCTGGGATGGATGGAGCCAAGCCCAAGGCCCTTCAGGAGCCTCAAATTTATACAAAGACAGGAGCTAATGCTGTGCTTTGATGTGTGGCTTCCCCTGGGAGCCATCCAGATTACTGAGGTCAGGACAAAGCCACCAGCACATCCAGACTCCTCTCCTCGGGCTTATGCCTTGTTCTCCTCCTGATCCCACCCTCAAAGCAGCCAAACGACAGCAAACCTGGGTTATCCCACCCTGCAGCATTTCAGGGGCATTTAAAAGATTAAATTCGAATTTTCTCAGGGCTTTTACCTCCTTGTTTGTCGGCTTCAAACCCCAGCCACTGCCACTGCTCTGCTTTTCCTTGTCTCCAGTGCCAACAGGGACTCTGGATGTCTGGTACCGGCAGCAGGAGCTGGACTCAGGGCTCCAGAACCTCTCCCTTTTCTGGAAGGTGAGTGCAGTGAAACCCCATGGCCTGGCTGGGACACACAGGTGGCTGCTCAGGGGGGCAGGAGCCTCCCCTGAAATGGAGAATGTAAACCCCTCCCTCTGAATTGCTATTATTTTGAAATCAAGGGGCTCTCAGGCAAAGATATGGGAGCAGGAACAACAGGTCCTTATTAGGGGAAAAAAATAAAAATAAAATGAAAATGAAGCAGTACGAAACAAACCTGCCAGAGTCAGAACACAACCTGACCCTCCTGCAGTGCCAGCTGTGGCTCTGCTGGAGCAGGGATCCTGCACAAGGGAGGAGTTTTCCTCTGCAGCTCCAGGGGTGGTGTGGATGGGCCTGGGCTCCCTCTGGGAATGCAGGGGAGAGGAGAGCTGCTCCTCTGGGAATGCAGGGCAGCACAAAGCTGCTCCTCTGGGAATGCAGGGCAGCAGGAAGCTGCTCCTCTGGGAATGCAGGGAGAGGAAAGCTGCTCCTCTGGGAATGCAGGGGAGAGGAGAGCTGCTCCTCTGGGAATGCAGGGCAGCAGAAGCTGCTCCTCTGGCAATGCAGGGGAGAGGAAAGCTGCTCCTCTGGGAATGCAGGGGAGAGGAAAGCTGCTCCTCTGGGAATGCAGGGGAGAGGAAAGCTGCTCCTCTGGGAATGCAGGGGAGAGGAAAGCTGCTCCTCTGGGAATGCAGGGGAGAGGAAAGCTGCTCCTCTGGGAATGCAGGGCAGCAGAAGCTGCTCCTCTGGCAATGCAGGGCAAGGCTGTTTTTGGTGTCCCAAAGCTCAGATTGTACCCAGGTAGGAATGCTTGGCTCCTCCCCTGGGCGGAGCATCTCCCCATGGGATGATGGGATTGGATCAGCCATGCAGGGACACTCACTGGCCATGGACAGAAGATAATGAATAATGAATGGCCCATGAACAGCAGAGATCTCCTGGAGGGAGGATTGGCTGTGGGAGAGATAAAGAAAGCTGCCCCATGAACAGAGATAACTGCCCCAGCTCTGACAGATAGAACACACACAGCCCCAGCCACACCCTGTAACCCAGGATAGCCCAGCAGAGGCAGCAAAACCCAGCCAGGTGAGAGGGGAAATGAAACCAGAGCCAGGTGAAAGAAGAAATAATGATTTTTAGGATGGCAGGGAAGGAGCACAAAGGTTTCACCAGCTCCCAGGGACAGGGACACAGCCCAAGGGTCCCCTCCCTATTCCTCCTCTTGCTCATCAGCATTTTTCTGCCTGCAATTTCATGGAATGCCAAAATTATTTGGGTTGGGAGGGATCCTGACTGTCATTCTGTTCCATGGCAGGGACACCTCCCACTGTCCCAGGCTGCTCCAAACCCATCCAGCCTGGCCTTGGACATTCCAGGGATCCAGGGGCAGCCACAGCAAATCTGGGAAATCCATCCAGCCCCTCCCCACCCTCCCAGGAACAATTCCCAATTCCCAATGTCCCATCCATCCCTGCCCTCTGGCACTGGGAGCCATTCCCTGTGTCCTGCCCCCCATCCCTTTATCCCAAGCCCCTCTCCACATTCCCCAGCTGACAGCACTTTTGGGGTCTGCTGGGTAGAGCTGGGGGCTGGGACCCCACAGGGAACATTCCACACGGAATTTGGTTTAAAACCCACCAGAGTTGGGTAAAAAAAAATTCACCGTGTTCACACCACGCTGCAAGTGAAAGCAGAAATTCTCATGTAATTCTGTGACCCCAGACTTTGTGGCTTCAGCTTGCAGACCTTTATCTTGCAGCACTTTCTTTATCAGGAGTGGCTTCCTGCAGCATCATTCATAAAATGGGGTAATAAACTGCCTTTAGAGGTTTCACTGCAGCTCTCAAGCCGGGCTGACACTCAGGACCACTTCCTACCGAGGGTGTGCACTTGTTCTCACACAAACACCCAGGAAAAGGGTTGAAAATTTAATTTCAGCAGGTTTCCAGCGCGGCCTCAGTCCTGAGCTGCTGCCAAAGCACTGCAAACATTTTGGTTTGTGCTTTGTTCCGTTATGACAAACATCAGCCAAACAAATGAATTAATGTCACAGAAACATCAGGAAACTGAAACCGAGAGTACAACTGCAGGCACCCAGAGGGGAGCTAAAACCAGGGTGTGGTGCTCCACAGACTGTCAGAGGTGTCTGTTCTGAGTGGTTCAATTCAAATTATTCTTTATGGTGGCTTTAAGTAAAATGCAAGGTTTTCCTGCCAGGCAAAACCTGCTCATTTTGACAAATCCAGCTGAGCAGCTGATCGTCTTTTTTTGCCTTCCTTGTGACGAGTCTGGCTTTTAGTGAAAAAAAAAAAAAAAAGAAAAAGTGTGAATTCAGCCTGAGGGCAGCAAGGGTTTAAGTGTCCCCAGCTGTGCTCCCACAGCAAAACTGGAATTGGGTGGGACAAATAAATCCTGGAATGGTTTGGGTTGGGATGGACCTTAAACTCCACCCAGTGCCACCCCTGCCAGGGCAGGGACACCTCCCACTGTCCCAGGTGCTCCAGCCTGGCATTGGGCACTGCCAGGGACCCAGGGGCAGCCCCAGTTGCTCTGGGCACCTGTGCCAGGGCCTGCCCACCCTGCCAGGAACAATTCCCAACATCCCCTCCATCCCTGCCCTGTGTCCCTGTAAAGCCATTCCCTGTGTCCTGTCCCTCCATGCCCCATCCCCAGCACTCCCGGGGGCAGCACCTTGTTCACAGGCGGTGACAGACGCGCTCTGCCCGCAGGCTCTGAGCAGGTGGGAGGCAGGAGGGAGAATCCTGAGCTACAGCGTGACCTTGGAAGCCCTGGAGCAGGGGCAGCTGCCGGCGCAGTCCCACCGCACCACCCAGACCAGCTTCTCCAGGGTCACCGCCCGGGCGGGGCACAGGGTGACGGTGACCGCGCACGGCCCGCGGGGCAGCTCCGCCCCTGCCACCATCCTGACACACCTGGACAGCCCAGGTAAGGCTCCTGCAGCTGGGGACGGCCGGGAGTACTGCTCTGCTGGGCCACACCCCGCTGGGCCACACCCTGCTGGGCCACACCCCCGCTGGGCCACACCCCCGCTGGGCCACACCCCTGCCGGGCCACACCCCACTGTGCCACACCCCTGCCGGGCCACACCCCTGCCGGGCCACACCCCTGCCGGGCCACACCCCATTGTGCCCCACCCCATTGTGCCACACCCCATTGTGCCACACCCCTGCCGGGCCACACCCCTGCCGGGCCACACCCCACTGTGCCACACCCCGCTGGGCCACACCCCTGCTGGGCCACACCCCTGCTGGGCCACACCCCTGCCGGGCCACACCCCTGCCGGGCCACACCCCTGCCGGGCCACACCCCTGCCGGGCCACACCCCTGCCGGGCCACACCCCTGCCGGGCCACACCCCTGCCGGGCTACACCCAATTGTGCCACACCCCATTGTGCCACACCCCATTGTGCCACACCCCATTGTGCCACACCCCTGCCGGGCCACACCCCTGCCGGGCCACACCCCACTGTGCCACACCCCATTGTGCCACACCCCATTGTCCCACACCCCTGCCGGGCCACACCCCACTGTGCCACACCCCTGCCGGGTCACACCCCACTGTGCCACACCCCATTGTGCCACACCCCTGCCGGGCCACAGCCCCGCTGGGCCACACCCCGCTGGGCCACACCTCCTGCCATGCCACACCCTGAGTCACACCCCTGCTCTGCCACACCCCCGCCGGGCCACACCCCTGCTCTGCCACACCCCCTCTGTGCCACAGCCCTGCAGGGATTGTGGCGCCTCCGCCTTGTGCTCACCTCAGTGACGTTCAGGGATGTGCAGATCCGCTTGTCCCCGTGGTTCCTGCACTGGAACCCTGCCCCAGCCCCAGCTCTCCCAGCCAGAGGGGCTCCAGCCCTCGGGATGTCCCCGTTCCTCCTCTGGAATCACTGCAGCAGCTCCACATCCCAGCGCTTCCATCGGGGCAGGGTGTGGGGTGTACCCTGCCAGGCCGAGCTGTGGGTGTCCCATCCATGAGAAAAGCCAGGAATGTCGCTGTTCCTGCCAGCAAACCCTCACCCTGCCACCAGCACCTCCTCTTTCACTATAATTCACTTTATCCTCCCCGCGGTGCCAAAGTGGACGGGACCCAGCAAACTCCACATCCCTGATTTGACTGAGGCTGCCAGAACCCTGTGCTGACAGCAGGTTTTGTTCTCCCCTGCAAGATCTGCCCCCTCCCCAGCGGGTCTGTGCCGTGGGCCTGGGGAACAGCAGCATCCTGGTGAGCTGGAGCCCCCCTGCTGGAGCCGCCCTGCCCCTCGGGGGGTACCTGGTGGAGTGGGCAGAGCCCTGGAGGGAGCCACGCCTGCAGCCCCAGCACAGCTGGGTCAGGCTGCCCCCGTCCCACCTGTCCACTGTGATAGCAGGTAATGCCACCTGTGACAGCAGGTAATGCCACCTGTGACAGCAGGTAATGTCACCTGTCCACTGTGATAGCAGTTAATGTCACCTGTGACAGCAAGTAATGCCACCTGTGATAGCAGGTAATGCCACCTGTCCACTGTGATAGCAGGTAATGCCACCTGTGACAGCAGGTAATGTCACCTGTCCACTGTGATAGCAGGTAATGCCCGCTGTGACAGCAGGTAATGTCACCTGTGACAGCAGGTAATGCCACCTGTCCACTGTGACAGCAGGTAATGCCCACTGTGACAGCAGGTAATGCCACCCTAGGCCGGCACGGCACCAGCGTGGTTGGAAAATATTCTTAGCAACAAGTCAGGTGGGAATTTGGGCTCCAAGGCCAGGATGGATGGGGCCTGGAGCAGCCTGGGATGGTGGGAGGTGTTGCCATGGCAGGGGTGGCACTGGGTGGGCATTGAGGTCCCTCCCAAGCCAAACCAGTCTGGGAGTCTATATCTCTATATATTTCTATATATTTCTATATATTTCTATATATTTCTATATTCTATAGTCTGTATATTTCCTATATATTTCCTATATATTTCTATAATTTTTACTAAAATCACTTCCAGGGGTCCAGGCACAGCCACAGCTTCTCTGGGCACCCTGAGCCAAGGCCTGCCCACCCTCCCAGGGAGCAATTCCTAATTCCCAATATCCCACCCATCCCTGCTCTCTGGCAGTGGGAAACCATTAATTTTCAGTTTAAAGCCCAGTAAGGCTCTGCCGGGCTCAGTAGATCAGAGAAAATTTCTTTCCCTTCTTTATGAAAGATCTATCAATAATCACAAGATTTATCTCAGATTTAAGCAGCTGCTGCAATATTTCTGCCCTGACTGCAAATCCCTCAAGAAGCAGCTGTGATTTCTTCCCCAAATCCCTGAAGAAGCAGCTGTGATTTCTTCCCCAAATCCCTGAAGAAGCTCTGCAGCTGTGATTTCTTCCCCAAATCCCTCAAGAAGCAGCTCTGCAGCTGTGATTTTTTCCCCAAATCCCTGAAGAAGCAGCTCTGCAGCTGTGATATCTTCCCCAAATCCCTGAAGAAGCAGCTCTGCAGCTGTGATTTCTTCCCCAAATCCCTCAAGAAGCAGCTCTGCAGCTGTGATATCTTCCCCAAATCCCTGAAGAAGCAGCTCTGCAGCTGTGATTTCTTCCCCAAATCCCTCAAGAAGCAGCTCTGCAGCTGTGATTTCTCCCCCCAGAGCACATCAGAGATAACGTCTGCTATCAGATCCACGTGTCTGCACTTTATCAGGACAGAGCTGGGCAGGCAGCATCAGTCAGGGGAAACTCCACAGCTCAAGGTAAAGCCCAGAAATGTTTTCCAGGTGTTTGTAGGGCGTTTTAAGCTCAGCTCTAACACAGTCCTGTGCCTTGCAGCGCCATCAGCTGGGCCCCAGATGTTCACCAGCCCCTGGGCCGGCGGCGTCCTGGTTTCCTGGGAGGAGATCCCAGCCTCGCAGCAGAGGGGCTGCATCACTGGGTACCACATCTACCTGCGCAGGAAGGACGGGCAGGGCCAGCCCGAGGTCCATGGTGGGTGCCTGGGGCTGGAAATGCTGCCCCTGCTCCCCTGTCATTGCTCAAGGTCTCCTGTGGGATCACTTTCAGTCTGAAAATATCAGATTTATCCCTGCTTCTCCCTGCTCCTCCTATTCTTATTCCTCTTTATCTTTTCCTTCCTTATCTTCCTCATCTTCTTCTCTTATTTTTCTTCCTCCCCTTCTTATTCCTCTTCTTATTCTTCTTTCTTCTTCTTCCTATTCCTCCTCTTGTCTTCCTCTTCCTCTTTTTTTTCTCTTACTCATCTTCCTTTTCTTTTTCCTTATTCCTCTTCCTCCTGTTCTTCTTCCTTATCTTTTTCTTTATTCCTCCTCCTCTTCTTCTTCCTCTTTCTCCTCTTACTCATCTTCCTCTTCCTTTTTTTATTCTTTTACTTGTCTTCCTTTTCTTTTTGCTTAATCCTCTTCGTCCTCCTCTTCTTCCTTCTTTTTTTCCCCCCTTATTCTTCTTTCTTTTCTTTTTCCTCATTCCTCCTCCTCTTCTTCTTCCTATTCCTCCTCTTATTCCTCTCCCTCTTCTTTTTCCTCTTACCCATCTTCCTTTTCTTTTTCTTTATTCCTCTTCCTCCTTTTTTTCCTTATCTTTTTCTTTATTCCTCCTCTTCTTCTTCCTCTTTCTCCTCTTACTCATCTTCCTCTTCCTTTTTTTCTTGTCTTCCTTTTCTTTTTGCTTAATCCTCTTCCTCCTCCTCTTTTTCCCTCTTATTCTTCTTCCTTTTCTTTTTCCTCATTCCTCCTCCTCTTCTTCTTCCTATTCCTCCTCTTATTTGTCTTCCTCTTCCTCTTTTTTTCCCCTCTTACTCATCTTCCTTTTCTTTTTCCTTAATCTTCTTCCGCCTCCTCTTCTTCCTTATCCTTTTTCCTCTTCTTCCTTTTCTTTCTCCTTATTCCTCCTCCTCTTTTTCCTCCTCCTGCCCTCCCTACCTTCACCCAGAGCCCGGTTCCAGGTGCAGGCAGTAAATCCCGTGCCAGGCTCTCCATTTCCATCCCTGTTTCCCCCCAGCCGTTCCCGCCGGGGCTCCTCGCTCCCTGCACCTCCCTCGCCTGGAGCCGGGCGAGCACCACGAGCTCTGGGTGACAGCGGCGACCGCGGCCGGGGAGGGGCCCCGGGGCAACAGCGACAGCGTCTGCCTGGACAGTAAGGACACGGTGCCAGGGTGCTCCTTGCCCTGGGACCCCCTCCCCGCTCTCTGGGAACGCTTTTCCTGCTCCCTTGCAGTCACTGGAGCTCTCCAAGCCTTCTGAAGGTCTCTTGGTGCTGAAGATTCGCAGTTTCAGCTGGGTTTGGGATGTGGAATCTCTTTCTTTGCCCTCAAGCTCCCGGTGCTGTGCTGTTTCCTCTGTGGTGAAGGGTGGTTTATCCATGGAGCACAGAAAGGTTTGGGGTTTTTCCCCTCTTTCTGCTGGAGCTGAATGGTGGCTGCTCTGCATTCCAGGTGCTGGGGACTGGCTGACTCTGGTGCTCATCTGCAGCTTCTTCATCCTCTCAGCCTGCCTTTGTTCCGTGCCTCCAGCAAGGAGAGTGTGAGTGCATCCATCAGCTGTGTCCCAATAACACTGGGGTTTTATCAGGAGGGATTAAATCCCACAAAGGTTTGGGTTGAAAGAGGCCTTAAAGCCCACCCAGTGCCACCCCTGCCATGGCAGGGACCCCTCCCACTGTCCCAGGTGCTCCAGCCCCAGTGTCCAGCCTGGCCTTGGGCACTGCCAGGGATCCAGGGGCAGCCACAGCTGCTCTGGGCACCCTGTGCCAGTGCTTTTTAAAAATCTTCACTCCCATCTCATCTAAATCGACCCTCTTTTCGTTTAAAACCATTTTCCCTTGTCCTGCAGGATGGTCATGCCCTTTCATGAGCATGGAACAGTGAGGATTGCTCAAAATTAAGGTTTCAGAGTACATGAATGATAATAAAAACAGGCTCTGAGCTTAAAATACACCTGTAGTCCATAGAAACTGTGAATTTTTAACCAGATCTTGAAACCAAACCGAAGGGGAGCAATCCCTGGGAAATATCCCCACCCAGCCAAGAGCTCTGAGGGCGGATCCATGATCACACCTGGGTTAATTCCACAGCCAAGGAGCACAAGGGTGCTGCAGGTCTCACCATTCACGTTTCTAATTGCATTTACCCCCCCTGCAGGTTCCAGTGGCTCCTGTCCCTCCTCCTGCCGCAGTGGCAGAACAAAGCCATTCCCGACCCTGCCAACGCCACCTGGGCCAAGAGTTTAGCGGCTGCCAAGGTAAATTAGAGGGGTTTTCCTTCTAATCCCACAACCTTCATCAAAAAAGCAATTGGAGCCATGCGAGTCAATAATCTCCTAAAGCAGCAAACCCAGCAATCTCTGGCAGCAGATAATCTCCGCTGGAGGACGTGCTGGGCGAATTGAAGCCCAGCAGAAGGCGTAGATCCCCCGTTTGCAGGGGATGAGCGGCTCGGGGAGCGATCCGTGCCGGGATTCATTGCGTGTCCCCCCGCAGGCGGAGCTGAGCGCTCCCTCCAGCCCCTTCCTGCCCGGCGGCGCCTTCGAGGAGCCCGAACCGAGCCCGGTGGAGGAGAGCCCGGCCCGGCCCGAGCCCCCCAAGGCCGGGGACACGGGGGAGGTGGGCAGCGCTGGCAGCAGCGGGCACGGCCAGAGCTCGGCGGAGCAGCAGCAGCTGCCGGAGCTCTACCAGCGGCTGCTGCTGGAGGCGATGGAGCCCCCGGAGCCCGTGGCCGAGTACATCTCCAACCCCGGCAGCCCGGGCCCGGAGCCGGCCCCCGAGCCCGAGCCCAGCCCCATCCCCGCCTTCCCGAGCGCGTTCCTGCCTCCCGCCCTCTGCCGCCCAGGGAAGCTGACTTTGGATCGAGTGAAACTCAGCGGCAGCTCCTGAGCGAGGGAGGCAGGGGGCGATGTGAGCCCGGCAAGAATTCTGGCACTTTACTGAGTATTTCGATGAGAGCCGGCAGGGATTTTGGCACTTTACAAAGCATTTCGGTGAGTTTTGATGTGAGCTCAGCCTGGATTTTGGCATTTTAAAAGTATTTCGGTGTTTGCAATACGAGCTCAGCCGGGATCTTGGCACTTTACAGAGCATTTTGGTGTTTCTTTGTGAGCTCAGCCTGGATTTTGGCACTTTACAGAGTATTTCAGTGTGTTTTGATGTGAGCCCGGCCTGGATTTTAGCATTTATGAAATATTTCAGTGTTTCAGCACACCCACTCCAGTCCCTCACGTATGACACCTCCAAGTGACAAAACCCTTCCCCAGTCACATCTCACCTTAGGACACGGCTGCTCCTCTGCAGAGGCACACTGGGGATGCCAGAGCTGGATTTTGGGGCATTTTGGAGAGCCCTTCCCGCAGCCTGGGCTGCCTCAAGCCCTGTTCCAGAATCAGTTAAAAATCATCATTTCCACCAGAAAGAGCAAGGAACTGCAAAAGGGAGGGATGGAACAGCTCAGCACCTCTCCTGGCACCAAGTCACAGAGTCCCCAATGTCACCAAACCCATGGGGGACACAGCGCCAGAGCCAGGGCCCCTTCCTTGCCTCAGCTCAGGGCAGGAAAATTCCTCACCAGAACTAAAAGCAGCAGGCAGCATCTGTACTCAGTCAAATGGATTGTCAAGAGGAATTTAAGTGATTTATTGGAGTGTTCTAATTACAGGCTGCAAGGGTGTTACACATTTAATGACTTTGTTTACCAGATGTGTGTATATAAATAAAATGTTGGAAATCTGAACTTGGCTTCCTGTTGTTTTCTCTGGTCAAGCTCCAGCTTTACAGAGAACAATTAAAAATAAAGCTGAAACGTTGCAGTTAGAGATGGAGCAGCCCAGGTATGAACTCACCTGGAGCATCCTCTGCATCCCCAAGCAGGGACAGGAGCTGCTGCTGCCACCATTCAGGTGCAGGTTTGGGTATTGCCAAATACCAGCTCAGCCACTGCACTTTGGGCTTCTGAGCTCTGCTCCCACCTGTGTCACCTGGCTGGGTGACACCGAAGGAAAACATCTCCCTCAGAACTGGGTCAGACATCCAAAAAACCAGAACCTGCTGCCTGCTCTCCACACCCTGCCTGGGAACCAGCCTGGTGAGAGGGCTCTGCCTGAGCACCACAGCTCAGCCCCTCCAGTCAGCTCTGCAAACCAAACTGAGCTAGAAAGGCAGATTAGATACCAAAAAATGCTTTTTTTTTTCATAAAGCACTATTTTGCCAATCATCTTTTTCTGCATGCTGATTTTCTACCTCAACCTAAGGATAAGTGAACATTGGAATTCATTTTCTCCTTGGCCCACAAATCTCCAAATCCATCAGAATGTGGGGATTCATGTCCAGCCTCACTCCAAGGACCAGAGTTCTGTCTTGGAAGAAGCCTCCCAGTGCTGTCCCTGAGCATCCCAGGAGGTGATTCCCCCTCAGGACCCTTTCCAGCAGGAACACCAGGCCTGGCTGTCCTGGGGACACCCCAGTGCAACCTGGCTGAGGCAGAGCAGCCCAGAGCACCCAAGGCAGGGAGGTTGGTCCTTGGGATGAGCCTGGGGAAGCAAAGCAGCAGCCTGGCACAGCTGGAGAGGCACAGCTGGAAGAGGCACAGCTGGAAGAGGCACAGCTGGCTTCATTAAACCAGAGCTCTGGCTTTGCAAAGCCACCCCTGTGAGTACAGTTACAGGCGGGCTCAGCTCCTCCAAGTGCTGCCACCACACGTTCCCACTGATTCCTGACGTTTTCCAGGAGAATCCATGGCCTTTCCCACACAGCTAACTCTTGGAACTGACCAATCAACCCCCCTGCTCCCTCCCACCATTCCAGCTCTGAGGTAACTCTCCTGCTCAAACCTTGCCCTTGCTCATTCCAAAGCCAATCTGATCCACACCTCCAACTTTCTCTGCTCTCTTTTCCAAAGGATTAGAATTTAAAAGTTGCAGTCCCCTAGATTTGGTGTGACAGCAGGAGCAAGCAAGAGGACAGAAAGTGTTACTAAAAGCAAGTTCATTAATCATTAATAACCTACTTGGGAGATGCTTTTCCCATGCAAAATCCATCCTGGGAATGGGAATGGAAGCTGGACTTCCTGGCACAGACCATGGATGAGCCACCATGAACCTCACTGGTTTCATTCTGGTTTTCAGGACATTGTTTTTAAAAGAGCATGAAAATAAACGTTTATTTCAGTTAACACCCACCGATATTAAAGATAAATGTTCACAGTTTTAGTTCTTGACACAAATGGACTGAAAGAGGTGAATTTACATCTGGCAGAACAGCAGAAGGACCAATTTTAAGTTACAAGCTGTGTTGAAAATCACTCTAGGTGCCATTTGGGAATGCTCTAGAGGAGGAAAAGGGAAAATCCAGCCAGCAAAATCACCTGGGTGGCAACTGGAACAGCAGTTTGGATCAAGGAAGAGCTGAGCTCCAGGGAAAGCTCTGCTCCACCAGTTTGGGGGTTACCCAGGCTGTCCCCAAGGCTGGAAGTGCAGCACATCCCACCAGGCAATGGGAGAGGGAAAAGGAACAGCTCAGCTCCTACAGGAGCCCCACACCCAGAGCAGAGTCAGGAGAGGAGAACCAAGGGATTTTCCTTGGAAAAATGGAAAATCTGCCTCCTCCTCCTCCTCCTGCCTGGGGCTGGAGATGCAGGTGAGGGAACTGATCCCTGGTACTCACAGTGGGTCCCAACAGGAGCTCTCGTGGAAAACAGCTGAGGAAAAGCAAAGGCAGCTGCTCACACCCCAGCTGAGCAGGCTGCTATTCCATATTCCAAGGGCTCCAACACTTCCTGCCTGTCCTGCACAGTTCTTACAAAAATAGGGGGTTACCTTCAGTTTTCTACCTACCTACGAAACTACCAATATGCTCTAAGCTGGCCAAAGAGGAAAACATGAAACAAAATGAGAGATTTGTTTCTATTCTCCTAACAAATGCTGATAAAACCCCTACAAAATCCTCTATTAGCCATTCACTCAACTCTTTTTGTGTATTGAAGGGATACATAGGGAAGAAATCGAACCTGTGGTGGATTTTGAGGGAGGAGAAGGAATTTCTTACAATCATTCTCTGGAAAAACCTTCCTTGGTGATGTCCCAAGCAGGTCCTGAGCACTGCACTGAGCCAGAGCTGCACTGGGATGGAGAGGGGAAGTGTTGAGGTTTTGGGGTGGATTTCTGGTGTCCTATGCACAGATTGCCATTGTCCCAGTCCAAAGCCATGAGCCACAAGTCCCTGCTGAGCCAGCCCAGCTCCTTCCTGGGAACACCTGGAGCAGAGCTGGGAATGCCTCAGGTACTGCTGCACCTGGGTGCCAACCCCACAGCCCAGCTGGGACCCACCTGGGCTTCCAGAGCCACCTGGGCTGCCACCTTCCCCCACTCCCAGCTCCAACAGTTCCCCCACACTCATGGAATCCCAGCTCCAAGGACAGAGAATTCCCCTGAACTCCTGGAATCCCAGCTCCAGCTCCAACAATTCCCCCACACTCATGGAACCCCAGCTCCAAGGACAGAAAATTCCCCTGAACTCCTGGAATCCCAGCTCCAGCAACAGGAATTCCCCCATTTTCAGGGTATCCCAGCTCCAAGGACAGGAATTCCCTGTATTTCAGGGTATCCCAGCTCCAAGGACAGGAAATCCCCTCTATTTCAGGGTATCCCAGCTCCAACAAAAGGAATTCCCCCAATCTCAGGGTATCCTCTCAAACAAAAAGCAAAGGTAATTAAAAAACTCTTTTTTTTTTTTTTTTGCCAAAAAAGCATCTTGTTCTGTTGAAGGGAAGGAAGAGGAAATAAAGGTCCAGAGGGGGAGTGCAAGGTGGGATACAGGAATTTTAAAAACCTGGTTTTCAGACCAGTTACCCATTGCTGGATCCATACACAGGTATTGAATCATAAACCAATGTGCTTTGAATCTTGATTTCAAGTATCTGCTTTCAATTTTCTAGAAAGATTTTGTGTAAACAAAACTACCCAACAGAGATGAAAAAATGTCTGGTTTTCCATGTTGGAAGTGAAGCATTAAAAGTTAAGTACTCCAGGAGTTCATTCCATACAGCACTAACAGTCTGCCAAATTAATGTTCCACAAATTCCATGGGCTGAGAAAAATCTGCCAAAGAGGAATTAAGGAAACTGAAGTAGTGTGCAAGAATTAAAACCTAGATTGGAGTTTGGGGTGGGGCGAATGGGGAAAGTCTAAAATGCTGACTTTAAATTAAAAAAAAAATGAACACAAATGAAGGGAAAGCTTTTAACTGGTACACACTGTTCACACCTATATTTCAAGTTTGGAAACGCATATTTTCAAGCAGCAATACAAAAAAGTATCCATGAAGAATGCATAATCTCTGAAAAAATTATGAAAACATCCCTGCTACCATTACATTTCTAAATACAAAACTTGACTACCATATTGTTGCTTCTGTGTAGCGAGAGAAGTTCATTTTCAAAACAGATAAAATTCAGTCTTTAGGTGTGAATGGTATGAATGACAGTCTCTTTTTTTTTTTTTTTTTGTTTTGTTTTGTTTTTTTCAATTTCTTAGTTGTTTTAGGATCCTTAAGCATGCAAGCCTCGGAGAGGAAGGCCCGACCAGGGCAGGGTTGGCTTTATGACATCCAGTTTAGGACAGAGCTGGGAAAGCCTCTGGGTCATCTACGTCAGGAGCAGAAGCACTTGACTGAAAGAGAAACATCACAGAGTTACTGCCTGGAGGCACAGGGGGCAGCACCTCGGGGCTGGAGAAATCACTACAAAAACAACCCTTTTTTCATTTATTCCAAGCATTCCAAAGCATTCTATACTGTTTTTTAATCCAAGCTATCCGGAGAGGAATTGTAGGCAAATTGCTGTTTGCACATCATTATTGCAGAGTTTTCTCTTTTTAACAGATCTCAGAATGGTCTGGGTTGGAAGGGACCTTAAAGACCATGGAATTCCAACCTCCTGCCATGGGCTGATCCTTCCCTGTGGACCAATCCTCACTGAGA